GTTCTTAGAAATAAGCATAAAAAATAATCGTCTATGTTCAGATAAATTTGTTACCTAATTAATATTTGATGTAATACAGATAGCAAGCTAATTGTATGAAAGCAATGATATATTTGTAATATACTTGAAATAATTATTAGTAAAACCTTTCATTCGAATGTTCTGGAATATTACTGCAATTCAATTGCCATAAAAATATTCTTCATTTTTTTTATAATACAATTTTTAATTTTAAAACGTTGCTAATTACTTTTAAGTGATCAACTATAAAATGTTGGAATTATAATCTTTTACTTTATATATATATGTATATATATATATATTTTTTTTTCTCTTATGTCTTTACGAACATGCTGTAAGTAATAATCACCGTTTCGAAATTAAAACTGTGCACTGCATACAGATACAAGCAACTAAATTTCTCCTTCTATTTCTCTTTCTTTTATTCTTTCTCTCACTCATTCATTCACTCACTCAATATGTATTCTGAACACATAGTGTACATGTTCAGAAATATTAGAAACGATTGAACAATTCGCAAAATGAAATTTTTACAAACAGATCATGTTACGAGAATAATATCAAAGCTTTAAACCACATGTGATGAGAGTAACAAAGCCTCTTCTCTGCTTTTCAAAGATCTCGATAATCAACTGATATTAACAAGAATTACTTTGGCCTCAAATTACTGATAGGACTGGATAACGTGAAATGTGCTGACGTTGTAATAGTCGATGCAGTACTTGTAGGTATAGGTATGTCACCAATATTTGTTGTAGCGTTTGTTTCACTTTTATAACGAATATTAGTATATTCTCGACCTAAATGAAGAGACTTCTGTAAAGACGTTAAAGAAACATGTATGAGTATCACTTGGAGATATATATATAGGTAAAGCTAATTACATATATTTGTTTACCTGCTCTGCCTGCATTCTCTGTGATACAGTTTCAATATAGTGTAATACAGCAAGATACACAAATTTATATTGTGCCTCTGTCTGAACCATTCCTGACCTTTGTGAACGTACTCTTTGAATCGTTCTTTGAATATCAATTTCACAATCCAAACCTGCAAATAGAATGCTTATAAAGTTTTATAAAAACGCACAGCAATTATACCAAAATAATAAAATACAGAATATATTATGAATTGAATATTACCATGCCGCTTAATTTGATCAAGAATCATATCAATAACAATAAATGTTCCTGTCCTACCAATTCCAGCACTACAGTGCACAAGAATTGGCCCTATACTAGGCACGTTCTGGCCACTTGATGTTAGAGACGCAGCAATTGATTCTTGCCTTGCGTTAACATCATGAAGGAAATTTAATACACACCCAGGGTCTGAAGGAACACCATGGTCAGGCCATGCCTACAAGTTTAATGTACATGTCACAATCTACTTTTTACTGTACAAGACATTGCTCAAATAGAGAAGTAACAGCATTGTAAGTATGTTTCAAAATACTTTTTTTTTTATTAAAATGACCGACAATGTTGCCTTCTGCCATAAGAACATTACCATTACTCCATTAAAATTGATATTAAATTACTTGAAAGTGATAATGATAAATCCTCCTAGATTCTGCAAAACACGGCTTATTTCCATGTAAAATAAATTCTCGTAGTGTATAATCTGCTGTTGAAGTGCGAGACAAAGCACGTACTTTCCATTCACCGCCATATTCTGTAACTTCGCCTTCCTCTGGCCAGTAACGAGCACATTTATTCTAAAATAAATAAATATATATGTATATGCGTGTGCATGTATAAATACATAACTTCTAAATAATTTAGATGTATTTTCGTTCAAGTAACGCACTTTTCCCCTCTCCATTTCTTTGGTGGTCATTACTATTACCCTGGTATTTTCTTGATATACCATATGCCAGAAGTCTGGTATTGTATTGGGAAGGCAACCTTGTGTTGCGATATAACATTTATTAAATGTACCACCGTCACCAACGGTAATGACTGCGTTAGGTTGTCCGTCCCCTTCTTCGTTCTATAAATATTTATGTGCAAACAAGTTTCAGTACATGTGAGAAAAACAAATATTAACTCATGCAGAAAAATTTACCCTAATATAATTAGCATTAATGTAGTCAGCTCCAGGAACATTGGGATCTACATCCTTCAAGCGTACTCTTGTGTGATCAACTACGTAATAATTATATGGAAATTAACAATTATTTATCAAAACAATTAAGAACAACCAAACTAGAAAACATCTTACAAGGTAAAATATTTTTATATCGGTTCTTTGCGCGGTTTTCGGGACGTAAACCTTCCTTCCTAGAAAATAAGTGACGACATTCCAACTGTTGCAGTGACTCAAATTCTTCCCAGAAACCAGCTTTTCCTTTACCACGTCCGGCTCCCACTTCGTTACTACCGGTGGCTCCATTCCAGCACAACCATCCATTTGAACAGCCATTTTCTTTATGCAACTGCCTCACTCTGCTTTCGATGCCACTAGCATTTATACGGGTAGCATTGAAAGGTTGCCTTGATAAATAGACAATAAATATATGTAGAAAAATATACATGTATAAATAGTGACTGAGTTTATGCAGTTCCTACCTTAAATGAACAACACTTCCACTTGTTTCAACCATTGGATTACGTTTATAGTATTCTATCAGATCACTTAGACTGTCAAACTTATCACCTCCTCCAACGTCGTATTTATTATCCTATAACATTTGTTACCTTTCAATATCAACATGCCACAAGTTATAATTATACATTGTAATAAATTGAAAAGTATTGAAAAAATGATATATGTAAGTAACATGTAATAAAAGATATAATTAACCTGAGATCGTATTATAACATGTGTAACACGATCATCTGTGCGTACAGATAATACAAAGTCACCAGGTTTACTTTGGGATTCACGCACCAGAAATGATCCATTTTTACCTCGCTCCAGCATTAAACGTTCTGCTTCTTTAGCTGATAAATGGCCATGGAACCACCTTTACCCATATTTTACTATTAACACATACCATGCTATATGCGTGCATTTGAAGTAATAATCACAAGAAAAAATGTTCCAATGCATGACAAAACTTATTGTTATAATTATTGTTGAAACAATAGCTATGTTTCGCTTTGAATAAATAAATACCTTTCAGTTGTTGGGTCTGCACAGTTCAAAGGATACTTCAATTCAATAATTTCTCCATTTTTCTCGCGCAACTGTCCCCCGTTTTCCATATAAAATTGCACAAGTTCAGATAACGTGGCAAACTTTTCACCACCATAAAGATCATAGAAGTCTCCTGTATTTTGTATTTTGATATGAGTTACTTCACCATTTCGTCTGAGATGAAAATACAAAAACACAGATTATAAAACTATCATGAGTCAATCCTTTCTCAAGAATATGTACAATTATGTGAGAAGATAATAAACACAATGTATACTATGCTCTTACCTTACAGATAATGTAAAATCACCAGGGTTGGATGAACTTGGGCGTGCCAAAAATGAACTATCATAACCTCGTTCCATTAATAAACGCTCTGCTTCTAAACCCGAAATATTGGGATGAAACCATCTGTAACAAATATCATGTCATTATTAATACTTTCCTCAAAGTTGTATGAAAACAATAATTATACGATATAAACACTATTCTACAGAAATCGGTAGATACTGTATAAATGGTTCAAAACATTTGCTCCAACATAAATTCTAAAAGACAAAACATTAGAAATATAATGTGAAACATTATAAGATGTAGAAGATATAATTTTATTTGAATTATTAACTATGAAAACTACTAATGTAAATTAAAATAAAGATGATAACAATAATTAAACGTGTTTTAGGAGGTACAAGAGAATTCATTGTAGAACGCAATTACAAGTTCTGCTTAAACAATTTAAACTTTCGATTCCAAACTATATGAGAACACACATAATTAACTTAATAAAAAGTGTGAATATCTGCATCTAGAAATATCCATGACGGATATTTGTATAAATTAGAATTGTTCTTCCCATTTTTAGGCATTGAAAATTCAACGGTTTTAAATGATTTAAATGCGTACACCTTACCTCCGAGTTTGACGAATCCGCGGTTAACACTGATAAATAAGTAGGCCTGTTCAGCGAACGTCCGTGAATTATAATAATTACGTGTTCTTTTATGCAACTATAAAAACGTGCCTCACCTGCGAGATGCCATGTCGTGAATCCAACTATGACCACCTGGTTATTAATAATTCATAACGATTCATCGATACCCGCGCCTATAATTCACAATTATAATTGCCTTCGACTTAACGCTAACTACACATCGCCACGGTCTTTGACATATTCACTTTGCACGAAAACAAAAAAACCGAAAGCACTAAAACATTCTGGCATAGATTTTCGCGAACTGTAGAGTGGATATCGTTTCCTGGAGAACGGACTACCGAACCTAATGCCGTTTTCATCAAATTCGCTTACGTATGGAACGAAGTAACTAAATACGTGTTACTACCGCGCGCATTGTTAACTATCTATAACAATTGTGTTTATGTTTCCAAAATTTACCGCCAGAGAAGTGAAACAAAATTTCTTTTAAAAATTTTTAATATTTTTGCAACAAAGAATATAGCATATCATTATGAAAATAAATAGAAACCATATTAAAGATTTGCATATGTAAGTTTAATAAAAATGAATGTTAATCTATTTTAAAATATTTTTTGATTTTGAACTTGATTTTTTTATGACGCTCTTATTAAACAATCACATACCGTCCGCTGTTTCGAAGAAAGTGTTGAGAAGCTGGCACTCGTGACGTCATAGGATAACTCTTCGCGCTCTTTGGCGCGCGACGCGATTGGTGCGTGAGAGTGTCTCAGCGAATCATATACCAGAACCAGAATCTGACCACTCAGACGAGAGTGCCAGCTTTCCAGCACTTGACGTATCTGACGTGCGTATGCTTATATTTCTTATGACAGATCGCGCTGTAATCAGAACCTAAATGATTAATATTCCTGATAGGCAATTCCGCCGGTTATGAAAGGTCCTCGAGTATGGTATAGTTGCTAGTATGTATTAATGTAAGTAAGATCGCTATATGTTACATAGCTTGAATTTTTTTGTATTAAATAAAAACTTACTGAAGTTTAGAAAAATATTATTCATGCAAGGATGGGTCAGTATGTTTCGAGGACCGATTTCGAATGGGTTTACACGGAAGAACCGCATGCATCACGGCGTAAAATAATATTGGGTATGAACACAAAATAGTATACGTGTAATTTTCTTTTTTTGCTTAGTTTGTTTATTCTAATTTCAATTATGTTATTCAAAGCACATCAAACCATTATCAATGTAAGAGCAGAAATAAATTAATCAGTCAACAAACACATACACACACATCCGCGCGCGTACTCGTATGAAATGAATAAATGCTTTGCATCTAAAATATAACATTTATTTTTCCATTTCAGAAAAATATCCGCAAATAAAAAGACTGTTTGGATACGATCCAATGTTCAAATGGATAGTCACAGGATTGGTTTTAACTCAATTTATATCCTTGTATTTTGTAAAAGATTTGAGCTATCCAATGCTTCTCCTTGTAGCATATTGTTTCGGAGGGGTGATTAATCACTCTCTTATGTTAGGTACATATAACTTCTATTTACTAATACATAAAATTTAATCTATGACTAAGATATGGTTACTATTAAGACTATAGTGAAGAGGAAATAAGTGTATCTTTCCAAGATAACTCTCAATGTATAGGTATGCTTCAATCGAAGTACATTAGTATTTGTTGAATGTGATGCCACTTGCGCAGATAAAGTATTAGATATTGTCTAATCAAGTTCATAAACAGTTAAGAAACGATAATTCGGTTACATGTTTTATGCAGTTCTGATATATAATATTTTTCTCTTTTTTTGAAACTTATGATATTTATATATTAATAATATATATTCTGATATTTCAGCAATACATGAAATAGCACATAATCTTGCCTTTGGTCATTCCAGACCTATGGCCAATAGATTATTTGGATATTTTGCCAATTTACCTATAGGTATACCAGTGTCTATTAGTTTCAAGAAATATCATCTTATACACCATCGTGTAAGTACACAAATACAATATGACCTTTTATTACAAAATTAGATTAATAATTAATCTAATGTGTAATCCATAGTATCAAGGAGATGAAGTATTGGATACTGATTTACCAACATTAATAGAAGCCAAATTATTTTGCACAACATTCGGAAAGTTCTGTTGGGTACTTCTACAGCCATTTTTTTATGCCTTTAGGCCTCTAGTTGTTTATCCATTGGCACCTACATACATGGAGTTTATTAATTTAGTAATACAACTTATATTTGATGGGTTCATATGGTATTTATTTGGTAAGTTTTAAGTTTCTTTAAATACCATTCAAATGTATGTATAAATATTTGTAAAATTAATGTTTATCTAAGAATAATAATATGAGTATAATACTATATACGTGCTAAATTTTGTGCAGGTGGAAAAGTTCTAGTTTATTTACTTTCTGGTTCAGCATTGGCTATGGGTTTACATCCTGTAGCTGGCCATTTTATATCAGAACACTATATGTATAAAAAAGGTTTCGAAACCTACAGTTACTATGGTCCATTAAATTGGATTACATTTAATGTTGGATATCACAATGAACATCATGATTTTCCTGCTGTTCCTGGTTCAAGATTACCAGAGGTGAGTATAGATTATTTTTATTCATTAAAAAACATTAAATTAACAATATTAATGCCGTATAAATTCTTTTTAATTTTTCACTTTTTTCAGGTGAAAAGAATAGCCCCCGAATTTTATGATAATTTACCACAACATAATTCTTGGACTTCTGTTTTGTACGACTTTGTTACTGATCCAGATATTGGTCCCTATGCTAGAATAAAAAGGAAACATAGAGGACTTTCTTCATAACGTAGAAATATCATATTTTCCAAAATTATATACTTTGAAATCATATAATTTAGAAGTTAAATTTATATACACAATTAATATATTGAGTATTATGATTAATTTACTATATTCTTTCCAGTATTACATGTTAAAAATTTCAAA